CATAATCCTACGGGGGACAACACTGGAGACACAGTGCGAGAACTGCGCCTGATCTGAACCCACCACACTGAGGCAAAACACTAAGGGTGTACAACAGAACAACAAGGGGAACAGAGCAAGGAAGTCCCAAAGGAATACCAAAAATAGACTTTGGGGCCAGGGTGTGGCACCCCATCAGACTCGACCAGAAAATACTCCTAAAGGTCAACAAAATAGATCTTGAACTATTTACAGGCTATTCTTTTTTTTGTCATTGGTTTTGTTGTTGTTGTTTTGTTTTCTTTTGTTGCTTTGTTTTGCTCTGTCTTATTTTTTGTGCATATTATTATCTCTGCAGGTATATCTAGATAAGGTGGGATAAACAATCTGGAGGAGAAAACGGGACCTATGGTTCCGGGGGTGGGGGGGACATGGAAGAGGGGGCGGTGGGGGAAAGGAAGTGGGTGTTAACAAACTCAGGGACATGGGAACAAAAAGTGATCCAAAAATCAATGGCGAGGAAAATGTAGGAGGCCTAGTAGGGCTTGATCAAGGGCAATGTAACCAAGATGAATTACTGAAACCCAAATGAAGGCTGAGGATGATAGTGGGACAAGAGGAAAGTAAAAGGAAATAGAGGAAAGAACTAGGAGGCAAAGGGCATTTATGGAGGTCTAAATATAGGCATTTACATATGTAAATATATTTATATATGATTATGGGGAAATAGATCTATGTGCATATATTTGTAGGTTTAGTATGAAGGTAGCAGATGGACATTGGGCCTCCATTCAAGTACTCCCTTAATGCAAGAACACTTTGCTCTGTTAAACTGGCATTCCATGATGCTCACCTTCCCGACACAACCGCTGAAGACAAATGGGTGCATAAGCAAATGTGGTGAAGAAAACTGATGATGCCTAGCTATCAAAAGATATAGCATCTGGGGTATTAAAGGCCTGAAGGTAAACAAGTGGCCATCTAGCTCAGAAGCAACAAAGCCCAAATGGAAGAAGCACACCAGTCTGTGTGATCACGAGATGTCTATGGGATCTGGTATCAGGCATCAAACAACAGCAAAAAAATCATACCATTGTGAATGAGGGGGAGCGTGGAGTGGAGACCCAAAGCCCATCTGTAGGTAACTGGACAGCCCCTTATAGAAGGGTCGTGGGGAGGAGACAAGCCAGTCAGGGTGCAGTATAGCAACGATGAAACACAACTTTCCTCTAGTTCTTTAATGCTTCCCCTCCCCCCAATCATGATCCCAATTCTACCTTACAAATCTGGCTAGACCAGAGGATGTACACTGGTGCACATAAGAACTGGAAACACAGGGAATCCACGACAGATAAACCCCTCAGGACCAATAATGAGAGTAGTGATACCAGGAGGGTAAGGGGAAGGTAGGGTAGAAAGGGGGAACTTATCACAAGGATCTACATATAACCCCCTCCCGGAGGGACGGACAACAGAAAAGTGGGTGAAGGGAGACATCAGACAGTGTAAGACATGACAAAACATTAATAATTTATAAATTATCAAGGGTTCGTGGGGGCGGTGGGACGGGGAAAGAGGGGGAAAATGAGGAGCTGATACCAAGGGCTCAAGTAGAAAGAAAATGTTTTCAGAATGATGATAGCAACACATGTACAAACGTGCTTGACACAATGGATGGATGTATGGATTGTGATAAGAGGGGAGGGAGGGGAAAAATGAGGAGCTGATGCCAGGGGCTTAGGTGGAGAGCAAATGTTTTGAGAATGATGAGGGCAATGAATGTACTGTATATATGGATTGTGATAAGAGTTGTATGAGCCCCTAATAAAATGACTGGAAAAAAAAGTTGTATGAGTCCCCAATAAAATGATTTTAAAAAGAAAAACAAATGAGGCTTCTCTAGAATGACTCCACTTGATGGCAGTATTTTGGGGTTTCTTGGTTAGTCTGCAAGCTAATAGTCCTGGGGGTGCTGTGGACTAAGCGTTGGGACTAAGCAAGGTCCATGATTCAAATGCTCCTCAGGAGACAGATGAGGCTGCCTGCTCCTGAAAAGGTTTGCCATCTCAGGAACAACAAGAAGTTCTACTGGGTCCGATAGGGCCACTATGATTTACCATCGGAATGGGTTTGATTTTTCAATATGCTTGATCTCTTTGACATGAGAATGAGAAAGAGATTGAAGCAAACATAAACATCTGTTCTGGGTGGGTGATCACAGGGCCATGGGTGTTTGAGAGATTAGCTTCTCCATTTAAAGAGCCTTGGTGGTACTGTGGGCAAAATACTTGGCTGCTAACTAAAAGGCCAGTGTTTCAAACCCACCAGCCGCTCCCAGGGAGGACGTTGTTGCCGTCTGCTTCTGTAGAGACTTAGCACCTTGGACACCCTGTGAGGCAGTTTTACTCTGTCCTGTGGGTCACTGGGGTCAGCAGCAACTCAGCAGCTATGGGTTGGGTTTGGTGTGGTTTTTCTGTGCACTATTCTGTAACCAGAATATTCAAGAGAAGTTCATTCAAAAAACCAAACTCGCTGCCATTGAGTCAATGCTGACTCAGAGCAACGCCTGGTGAGTTTCTGAGACTGTAACTATTTACAGGAGTAGAAAGCCCAGTCTTTATCCAGAGGAGCTGCAGGTGGAGCTACGGAATTGCTGACTGTGTGGATTGCAGCCCAACTCGTACCCACTACATTGCCAGGGCTCCCAAGAGAAGTTCAGAGAGACAATAAGGTAGGCGTTAATCTCTAACATGGGTTGGAGAGAATGGGCGGAGCCGGGACAGGGACTGGGAGGAGGCAGCTGGGCCGGGAGTATTCTCAGTCTTGGGTGGGGTGGGTTTGGAAACAGGGAGAAAATCAGCTTTCCCCTTCATGTCTATTTGCTCCCTCAAGTGTGTTGCTCCGGGTTTGTCTCTGAGCTGCTCCCCCACCCCCACTCTCTGTGCCAGGGGACTGTTCCAAGTCGGTAATTTATTACTTCTTACTCAGAATTGAGCATCTACCACAAAAGCAGATCTCCACACGCCCTAGCTACAGTCCCACACAGGCAGGCATGGGATAAGTTGCATTGCTAACTCAGTGCTGGAAAGCTCACCTTCCACGCAGGAGATGGGTTTGATTTGAGACTAATGCACCTCACGTGCACCTACCATCATCCTCTCTGTCACTCGGGACCTTGCTGCTATTAGTTCAGCCGCGCTTGACGAAGACTAGAAAGAAAGGCCTGGTGATCTACTTCCCTAATCAGCCAATGACATCAGCCTATGGATCACAACAGGAAATGGAGGCCCGGAGATTTTAAGTGACTCGCTCAAAGTCACACAGTTAGGAGAAGGCAGCGCTGGGATTTGAACCCAGGCAGGCTGGCACGCAGACCTGGGGCTCCCACTGCTAGGAGTCTCACAGTGGGTCCCATGCTGGGTGCTGTGCACTCAGTGCTTCTGCGATGACCAAGGGGACACCACCTGTCCTCACAGAACTTGGGGGCCGGCAGCAGAAGTCAGAACTGAACCACTCAGCCTGCACAAATGTACTCACAGCTACTGGTCCAGGGAAGGAAAAGTGCTTTGTGCCTCAAGGAGAATACAGAGCACGTGCCAATGAGACTGGACGTGCTGGGCAGGTCTTCCTGAGGAGGGGACATTTAAGGCAAGGCCTACAAGATGGGCACCTTGCCAGGAGAGGAGTTGGGGCAGGCAGTGCAGAGAGAAGGGACAGCAAGTGCAAAGGGCCAGATAGGTGAGGGGGGCACCTGGTGAGAGTCTGGGGTTGGAGAGTGCCATGAGCAAGGGTGGGACAGCTGAGCCAAGAGGGCAGAGAGGAGGCGACCACCATGCTGGGCCTTCTGACCACTTGTTCAGGCTTGCCCCCCACAGTCCTGGTTCATGCCTGTGGCCCCAGCACGAATACTCCTTTGGTTTGAACAATCAATTTGAAGGTCACGATCTCACAGGCCATGGGAGAGGGTTTGGAATTTGTTCCCAGGGTGGTGGTGGGAAGGCATTGAAGAGTTTCAGCAAAGGAGGGACACCATCTCATTTATAATGTATAAAGGCCACTCTGGCTGCTGTGTGAGGAGGGCCTGCAGGAGGAAGGCTATTGTCCTCTTCCTTACACAGGCACAGCCTCACTGCCTGGAAGGCCCTTGCAATACCCGTGGGGTGCTAGGGGAGGTCCAGACGTGGGCTGGCTGAAGTTGCAGCCATGGGGAATGTGACTCATGTGTCCCCAGAGATGCTGTCCCCCCTTCTTCTCACTATGCCGGCCCAGCCTTCAGACTGCCCAGTGGGGCCTCCAGAGGTGGGTGGAAGCCCTGGAGTAAAGCTACCTGGCTCCCAGGACTGCAGGCAGCTTGTGGAAAAAGCAGAACAATTCTGCCATCAAAGAGCTAAAGGACACCATTAATGTAAGACACGGCGATGGATAGAAACTTGCCATTTTTCAAACTGCCCCTTATTCTCTTCCTTCTTCTCCCCACTCGGCCCCCATCTCCAAGAGATTTCAGAAATGAGACCCACAGGCATTCACAAATACCAGCTGGGGAGGGACTAGGAAGGATATCTGGAGTGGGCCGATGTACATGGACCATGGGGAGTATGTACATGCCTCAGCTGTGTGCCCCCAGCTCCAGGCCTGGCATTGGTGTCTGGGCTGGGCAGGGGGTTATAGATAGGTGCGTCATACACACTGGCCACGTATGATGGACACGATACACAATTCCCACAAACCTTTGATATTTAGAGGGATCGGGAGGGTAAAACATGCCCAGGGCTTGTAATAGCAACAAAGCAGAGCAGGCTGGGAAAGTCAGAAGCTTGTAAGAGAAAACTCACCAAGCAAGAACAGCCTCTGAGCTTCCCATTACCCAGTGGCGCATGCGTGGCCCCTGCTTAAGACCATTTCGTGTTCAGATGAGGAATTTAGGGTCATCCAAGTTGATGTGTGTGTGTCTGTGTAAGACAAAGCCACAGGCTCCAGGGGTGGGGGGTGGGGTGGGGAGCGGTGGGAAAGGGGGCACTCACCCAGCGGCAGCACGAAGAAGAAGGGGAACCAGCAGAGCACGAAGACGCCCACCACGATGGCCAGAGTCTTGGCCGCCTTCTTCTCGCGGGAGAACTTGAGCAGCCGCACAGAGAGGGAGCTGCGGAAGTTGTGGCCCTTGGCACTGCGCGCCCCGTCCGCACCTGCACCGCCGCCCGCGCCGCGACAGTGGATGCGCAGCACCACCTCCGAAGCCTTGCCCCGCTCGCGCTTGACACCAGCCTCGAGGCTGCGAGTGGTGCTGCGCGCGACCACGTACACGCGGCAGTACATAATGATGATGACGGCCATGGGCAGGTAGAAGGAGCACACGGAGGAGAAGACAGCGTAGCCCGCCTCCTCGGTGATGCCGCAGAAGCGCTCGTCCGGGGGCACCGGCTCCTTCCAGCCTAGCAGGGGCCCCACGGACACCACGAGGGCGACGACCCAGAGGAGCGCCAGGATGGCGGCCGCCTTGCGCTCTGTCATGATGGCCGGGTACTTGAGTGAGTGGCGCACGCCCACGTACCGGTCCACGGAGATGGTGCAGAGGCTGAGGATGGAGGCCGTGCAGCACAGCACGTCCACGGCGGCCCACACGTCGCAGAAGGCGCGGCCGAAGGCCCAGAAGCCCAGCACCTCCATGGTGGCCGAGAAGGGCAGCACCGCAGCGCTCAGCAGCAGGTCGGCCACGGCCAGGTTGACAATGAAATAGTTGGTGACCGTCTGCAGGTGGCGGTTGCAGGCCACCGAGAGGATGACCAGCAGGTTGCCTGCCACAGCGGTGAGGATGAAGGCGGCCAGGAAGACCCCCACGCCCAAGCCCTGCGCGCTCACCACCAGGCCCCCGAC